AAATATTGCCAACAGGACAAACAGCAGACCGAAGAGGCCGGATAAGTGGTGTGGTGTGTGTGCGCGCGCGCGCCCCACACACACACACACACAATGTCAGAAAGTTTTTGTCAATCGCTTTTGTGTAGATAGAACGTAGTGTAGATAGACTAAACTGAATCAAAACTACCAATGCAATTTCGCAATAGTTAACAAGATATTAATTACTAAAAATTACCAAACATTGGTCTTGATTATAATAATTTTTTACTCAAGTATCATTAATTTTACAGAAAAACTGCAAGAGACAAAATCATTTATATTCTTCTCATAGAACTTTAAGAATTTTTTCAGAACTTTTTAACAACTTTTTAGTACTACATTTTCTTATTTTTATCAACATGAGAAAATACGGTATTAAAAAATTCTGAAAAAATTCTGAAAAAATTCTCAAAATTTTATGAAAAAAAAATTAATTAAAAAAATTTTTGTCTCTTGCTTTTCTATAAAGTTGATAGTACTTGAATAAAAAATTATTTAAGATTATTTGACAATTTTTAGTAATTAATATTTTGTTAATTATTGCAAAAATTGCAAAATGGTAGAGGACTTTTCGATTTCAATTTAATCGATTTCCGCTTTATCTACACAAAAGCGATTGGCAAAAATTTTTGGGACACTCTGTATATCTATATTTGTATACGCATGTAGTACAAAGCGCGGCTAAAGAGGAACAAGTCCGTGAACGCCATCTGTGAACACTGCAGAGGAGCGTTAGCACCAGTTAGCACTCTGAGAAATATACGATCGATCGACGCCCACTATTCCACAAGAATATATTGAGACTAGAAAAATCTCGGGATTCAAATGCAGAAAAAAGGGTAGAGGAGAAAAATGTATTAATTGCGCCAGATCAGTTCAGAAGGGATATACTTGGCCGATTGGTCGATCGCAACGAGAAAATGCAATTACGTGAAATTGCGACGCGATCGTTCACGACTGTCATGGCGGCCGTAGACAACCGTCTGACGAACGAGAGACGCGGAAGATGTTGGCGAAAAGGCGGTGAATCGCCGCCATCTTGGGCGCGAGGCACCCGCGAATTTCGTGGTTTGCGGGCGATCGCGCGGCTTTCCAGCGTATTTCGATACCTTCGAGATCGTCGTGTGGGCTGTCGTGTGAAGTCTCGCCACGCTGCGGATCCGCCAAAGCTGCGCTGATGCTCCCGTGGCCTCTGCCGCCGTCGACCTTACGACGCTTCACCGGGGACGAATATTCCAGCAGCTCCGAGCTCGACGCCATATTCGACAGCAATGCCCAAGCAATGCATGCAACGCATAGTGCGATGCTCTTCGGCCCTCGCCTTGTCCCCGTCCCCCCAGAGGTCGCCCCGCCGTCCGTAACACCGTCCTTTTCTCCCTCCCCTCCCCCTTCACCCGTCCTTCCACCATTACCTTTCCTTCTCTTCTTTTCCCTTCTTCCTTCTTTTTCTCTTTTCCCCAGCATGGTTCAAACACTTCAAACATACTCTCAAGTCTGAACACAACATAGTTTCTGCCATTTCTAGTAGCTTCTGTGTGGTGGTGCCTAGATACACATATGTGCGTCATTGGTTAAAACTCTCTAGAGAAACACAGCAATTCCCTATCGAATAGCAAATAAATATAAAGATTATAGAGGTTATAAATCGACTGTGCTTTGGTGCTTATGACTGCCGTTATCGAGAAAGAGAATCTGTCAACGAAGGAATTGCAAGTATTTAATATGCAATTTGTTTGCTACTTGTGAAAAACGGGGAAACAATATTATATTTTATAAGAGGCAAGAAAAAAGAGATATTAAAAAAAAGAAGGAAAATATATTAATGAAGCATCCTTTTTGATCCTTCTCAGATCCTTCGGCATCGAGTGGACCAGAGCGAATCAAAGTGGATCGAATAAAACTTGCTTTTTTCCGATTCTAGGCCGAAGTTCGTACAATCGAGCGACAATAATGAGTTTCGATCACATGCAGAGGCGATGGAGCAGTTTACGGAAAGTGCTGGAGAGATCAGGCCCATTTTGCCGGCCGGACTTCGAGCCATCTCCTGAAAATCTGCAGATGCTCGTGGATCACTGTAAAGTACTCGTTGTCGGTGCCGGCGGTCTGGGATGCGAGCTGCTTAAGAATCTTGCTCTGATGGGATTCAGACATCTTCATGTAATCGACATGGACACAATCGAGTTGTCTAACCTCAATCGGTAGGTGAGGTTACAAAAGATTTATACACACACACACACATACATATATATATATTAGGTGTAGTAAAAAGAAATCCATTATTTTTGCATGAAATTGAATGGAAAAATAATGGATTTCTTTTTACTACACCTAATATATTCTGGTGATGCTATGTAATCTAATTTGTAAAGATTAGTAACAGATATCATCAAGATAGGATTCTCTTCCTTGAACCTATAACAAAAATAATGACAGGACTTATGCAAAAGATTATTTGAATAAATATTTTATTAAAAGTTTATTTAAAGCAATTTTGTTTGTATGCTTTATTATTTAATATTATAGACAGTTTCTATTTCGTCATAAGGACATTGGATGTTATAAGGCAGAGGTAGCTGCAAAGTACATTAACATTAGAATTCCTGGATGTAATGTGATTCCACACAATTGTGAGATACAAACTAAAAGTGAGGCCTTCTTCCAACAGTTCCACATGGTTATCTGTGGATTAGATTCAATTGTTGCAAGGAGATGGCTCAATGCTATGTTAATGTCTTTACTTGTTTATGAAAATGGTGAATTAGATCAAGCCAGCGTGATACCTATGATCGATGGTGGAACCGAAGGCTTCAAAGGAAATGTTCGAGTTATTTTACCTGGTATGAGTCCTTGTATTGAGTGTACCTTGGATTTTTATCCACCACAAGTGAGTACAGTCTCCAATTATTCATTTCTCAAGATTCAATATTAATAATCTAGTTGACAGTCTATTTTATATTTGAAACTTGTATCTCGCATAGGTCACATATCCTTTATGTACGATAGCCAATACTCCACGTTTGCCAGAGCATTGTATAGAATACGTCAAGGTAATTCAATGGCCGAAGGAAAATCCATTTGACTGTGCTATTGATGGGGATGATCCCCAGCATATAAACTGGATTTATGAAAAGTCAAATGATAGAGCAGCACAATTCGGTATACAGGGTTTAACATACAGACTTGTACAGGGTGTCGTTAAAAATATTATACCAGCAGTGGCATCAACAAACGCTGTTATCGCTGCTGCCTGTGCAACAGAAGCATTCAAACTTGCAACCAGTTGTAGCGCATCCTTAAATAATTACATGGTAATTAAATAATTACATTCCTTAAGTAAATAACACAATAAATCAACAATGTAGTAATGTTGCGTGCAAAAGAATATATATATATATATATATATATATATATAGAGAGAGAGAGAGAGAGAGAGAGAGAGACAATCGAGGATTATTATGTAAATTGGAAACTATATGTGTATGTGCGTGCGCGCGCGTGTGTATGTGTGCGTGTAGAATTTAATCAGTTGGATAACTTTTATCTTAATTCGTTTTGTCTTGATTGAATGCTAATCTTCATGGTCCTTGATCTTTCTAATTTGCATTTGATAATAAAATTAAGGTATTCATGCATTATATTTTTCGTCGGAAGCACAAACCCGTATTTATAGCAATGGCAATCTCGGCAAGGTAAAATAAAATACATATATTTTACTTTCAGGTGCTCAATGATCTGGATGGAGTTTACACATACACTTTCGAAGTAGAGAGAAAAATAAATTGTTTGGCGTGTAGTCAAATACCACGAGAGATTGAAATTGAAGATTCAAAATATAAATTACAGAATTTAATAGATCTTCTTTGTGAGCGGCCAGATTTGCAAATGAAAAGTCCTGCTATTACGGCTATAATAGACGGCAAATGTAAAACTCTGTACATGCAAATGGTAGCGAGCATCGAAGAGAAAACTCGCGAGAATTTGTCCAAGACTTTGATCGAATTAGGTTTAAAAGATGGTACTGAAATAAACGTTGCTGATGTTACGACTCCAAGTACAATTACTTTAAAACTGAAATTTCCACAGGACAATAATGCAAGTCAGTAATACCTACCTGAAAATTTACTTTTCAAGCATCCGTTTCTCGTATAATGTGTATTTCTGCTGTTCAAATTCGAAAAGTAAAAATAAATATATGATAAAGTATAATAAAAATTGCTTGTACACGAGATTGCATGTTATTCTATATGTTTGTATTACTGCAATATTTTATTGCGGTTGTCAACATCATTGACGTTTGGTAACTGGCTTTAGTATTTTTTTTTCTTTTTAACGCAAAACGTACAGTGTTTCAAAATTCTTTAGAAATATCTCTAGTGATAAATTTTTGGACTAATCTAGTTTTCTTTAACTTTGAGGCATAATCATTCTTATAATGATTATAAATGACTGAAAAAGAAAAGTTTTTCTCGAACTAACTTTAAGAAATCAAATAAATGAAAAATTGTATCTTGTGCATTTAATTTTAGACGGAGTTTAAGAAAATATTAAATATGTCTGATATAATTGCAAAGATACGTAATGTAAAAAATTAAAAAATAAACGATGACTTTCCTTGACATCAAGAAAAAATCGAGCAAATTGGTTGGAAAAATTCATTGTTAAAAGAACATCCGATATGAATAATTTTGAAACATAATACATATATATAGTGTAATAAAAAAAAACATCACAATCTATAAAGCTGGTATACGATGCTTATTTTCTTGCTGGATTGCTGAATTACAATCTTGTCACTGTATTGGCTCCAATGCTGATACTAACTGGCACTAACTGCAAGCACCGCAGCCAATACGGTAGCAAGATTCTAATTCAGCTAACAATCCAGCAGAAAAACAGGCATCGTGTGCCGCCGGCTTTAGTCATAAATTAACTTAATATTTAAATAATAAATACACGACTTAAATACTATTCTATATTTCTGTACTTACATCGTCTCGCATTCTGATCAGAGATCATGTCATAGCAAAATTATGTTAACAAGGGATAATTTATAAAATATGATATGTATAATTATAAATTCAAATTCATAAAATTGTTTTTTTCTTTTGCTTTTCTACAAATATGTAATGCTTTGCAAATTACACATACTTAACTGCATTGAGAGAGAGAAAGAGAGAGAGAGAGAGAGAGAGAGAGAGAGAGAGAGAGAGAGAGAAAGAAAGAGAAATGGAATATAATAATTCATGACATATATATGTATGTGTCAAAATTTATACTTGTCAACTTATCTCGTCAAGCATTTTTATAACAATTTTTTTTTTTTTCGTTTTTCACATCACTGAGTTAAATTTTATACTGCGTATGAATTTTGTGCACAGCCCTCGTTTGCAAAAAATTTCATACATTTATTTCGTTACACTGTATACATACTGTATATGTATACGTGTGTATATAAAAATTATTTAGTTTTAAATGAATTAGAAGTCTATTTTGAAAATATCAGAAAAAATATCAAGTATCTTTCTAAATATACATTGTCAGTATAATTTTGTTTTGTTTTGAACACGATTGCAATTATAAAAAGATGTACAGGCAAATGATGGACAGTGCACAATGATCTTTTGTTATACAAGCACACTTTGTAACATTCGACGTATGCACAACTCGAGTAGAAAAAATATCTATAACACAGATACATTTTTATCTATCCCTCTTATATAAAACTATTATTACATAATATTAATTTTTATAATTTACGGCTTGTAGCAAGTCGGCAAGTCAATATTCTCAAGAATATATTTTCTTGAGAAAGTATATCTTTCGCTCAAATAAACTTTCATTCAATATTAAATATGCATTTCCAGTTGCTACTAACAATTTGTACTCCGCGCACAATTCATAATTTGCGCAGAGTAGAAAAGACTTATATAATAATTTATTTTTATTTTTTGTCGGTCGGGGGTATTTTCGCAACGAAACACTCAAAAAATCATTGGCATTTCATTGTTTATGCAATGTCCAAAAAATGGACATTCCTCCAATTGTACAATTTGAAATTGAACATTATGGTACAGCTGGATACAAAATTGCGCAAAACCAGCAATAAACATGAAAGGGAATCGTATTTTACGGAAACATTCGAGAGTTATAATATACAACTCGCCTATGTTTATAAAATTAAATTTTGTGATAGTCTAAAATAATAATGCATATAAATTGAATAGATGTACTCTATATAATTTTATCGTTTTTTAATATGTTGTATTTTGAATCTATACGATCTCTTCCAATCTAAATGTTTCACAGAAAACGATCACACAAGATTGTTATGTACGAAATGTTAGTTCAAAGATTGAAACGCAATATACAATTGCAAATAATGATCATATGAATAATCATCAATTTGTATAATAATAATAATACCATAATCCAATAAAAGATAATCTGGTACAAAAACTTAAGCGCTGATAAAGTTGTAGCATAATGCATGTGATAAAGTTTAATTTTTTCGATACAACAGCAAAAAAACTCGACACTTTCCTCGAGTGAATAAAATATATATAAATGTGCACCAGACAATTGCCGATAATTCATGTAGGGACGTAGCTATGCAAGACATAGTGTTGTAACTTATGCAATGTCCGGATGAAAGTATAACTATGCTGATTGATCCGTATTTTGAAAGTGTCCAGCCTTTGCTGGTTTAGATTACTAAATAAAAAGTATCGGAGTAGTGCACGACGCCTTCGTGATACGTCTTAAAATAACAATGTTAGGCCTTAGCATCGACTTCCACGGCAACGTCTCCTACAGCTTTCTCAGCCTTCTTTTTCTTCTTTTTCGCAGATTTCGGATTTGCCGAAGAATACAAAAGGGTCTAAAATTTTCAATTAATAAATAAATCATTGATAAATTTATCAAATCATTTATAAATTATAACAGTAAAATGGCAGTTGTAAAGCTATTATATTTTTCTTAATTGAACGTTCTATATACCTTCAATTCAGGATCGTCTACAACACAGTCAGACTGATACATATCAAGGTCAAAAGGAATTCCTGTAATTTTGTGAGGTCCATTAGGCATCAAAAGTACCGTAAATTTAAATTGTGCCGCGTACTCGTTTGGTTTTTCATACAACACCTGTGTGAAAATGTATAATGTTTGAAAATTTTATTATGCTTGCTACACGGGAACTAATAAATAAATAAAACATAGTATAAATGATAGTCTTACTTGGAACGGCTCGATCAATCTATGATTTACACATTCAACAACAGCCATTTTTGCTTTTTTCTCATCTTCGAAGGTACGTAAATTGAAAGGCATGAGACCATGTTTGTGAGAGACTTCTGAATAAAACATGCGAGACGCCTTCAGTTTAAGCTGATATGTCTCCTCTGTCTTCTTGTATATCGTAACTCGAGTATCCTGTTCCCTTCCTACTCCTTCACCTGTACTCACTAATACATCCATTGCATAAACCTGAAATTAAATAAGCATAATTAAGCCTCTTTTATAATGCTCCTCTTCTTCTTATATTTCAAATTTCGATACTATTTTAATTTTTATATCACTTTAAATATACCTCGTGAGTCTCGAGAGTATACTTTTCATGTTCCTTCTTTTGCGCATCGTTTGGATTCTGAATTATTGTTTTCTCTCCATCGATCTTGAATTGTTTTAACTGATGACTTAGCATACCTTCGATCGGCTTACATTTATAGGCATCACATATTTTCTCCACAGTGCCTGTTATTGTGTAAGTCTGAAAAACATAATTAAGCATCAAAATTTTATTTTTTCCAACTATTTAATTAAAAAAAAAAAACAAAAAAAAAAAAGAAAATGATAGCACACAAATATTCAATCTTACCTCGGTACCTGGTTTCAAAAGCCTTAATGCAGCTTGAGAAGCATAGTGCGCAGCTAAAACTACATCCGCTTTTTTGCCAGTGACTTTTTTCTCTAAAGATCCTATAACAATGGTATGTGCTACTACAGCTATAAAACCATCAACATGTGCTCCAAGATCACTGTAAAAATACACAATTTCATTAATTATATTAATTTTGTGAAAAGTGAAATGTCAGAATTATTCGAATTGTTATTAATCATGGAAATGCTAATGTAAATCAATTTCTGAGAAGAATCAACAATGAATTATTCAATGTTTAAAACGATAGAAAATAGAAATCGTAGATAATTGTAAAGAAGCAATTACCATAGAGAGAAACTTACACTTTAACCATATCTTCATCTTTGAGAATCAGGTCAGGTTCACTAGCAATAGGAGAGAAATGGCAAATACAATTGTTGACTGATATGCATGTTGGAAAAGCAATCCCCTTTTTAAGTTCTTTCTCTTTTTTGAAGACTTTACTAGTTTCTTCTGTGAGTATTTTGTCACCAAACTCACATATTTCCCTTACAGAAGCTCCAGCAATGCATTTGTTTAGAACTTGCTTTAATACACCTGAAAAATACACAAATATGTAATAGGTATATTACACAAGTACAGCTTAATTACGAGTCAAAATGAATTGACTTTTTTGACGAAAACTTGAAAAAGTTAATTAATTAAACCAAAGAAATAAACAATCATGATCTGCTTCAACTTAAAAAAAAAAAAGTAAGCTTATCTTAAACAAGTGAAATTATTTTAGGAGGAAGCATGCAAATGATTGGAAAGGATGAATTTGGAGTCAAGCTCCGAAATCAACTTGACCATAAATTAACTTAATACTTTGTCAACAAGGAGGAAATAATTAACTTTTTATTGTTTGACATGTGGGAAAGGAGAGATTAGAACAGAGAGAGGACGAATTGGAAATTTTGCTTTTCTGCTAGCGATCGACTGATGTCAACGATCGATTAATTATACGTGTGTATCAAATATGTCGAGAGTGTATCGAGGTCGGTGAACGATACAGCTTAGGGGAAAGCGCAGTCGCGAGCGGGTAATGCCGAGGATGTAGGACGAATCTAGCACATGGTCGGGCCCGGCTCTGGCATCGACATGCCACCAGCCCACATTCCATATGGCCCATATGGCCCGTATGGCCCGCGTAGCCAAAATAAGCTGAGATAAGACGGGCGGGCGCGCGCGCTGAACGCTCGCTTGCGACCGCGCGGACCCCCGCGCGAACACGCGCCACCGTTTCCTTACGGTTCACGATCTCGCCGGCCATTTTATACTTGGTGACAACCAAGTCCTCGGCGATGGTCTTCTCAGTTTCTTCCTTGTCAGCCATATCTACGACACAATGTATATCAGCGATCACGTGATCCCAGCGGCTTCCTCGCTGTGAGATCCACTCGACGGTACTCTCGATACGCGTATCAACGCATATACCCGACTATCTACGATTACCGACTCGTCACTCGTTACTCGTACGAATGACTGACACGATCAAACCAGACACAACGACGGGCGCCAAATCGCCCAATGGCCCCAATGCGGCCAATGCCCAATCGGCCCAATCAACCCAATGGTCGCCAACAACGGATAACGACCTGCACTTGCACTCACTGCACCCTGCACTAGCAGTACTAGCATCACAGCGACGATAGCGACAAATAGCGACAGTGGTCTAGTTTCCGAGGGTTTAATCCGGATCAAAATACAAGAACCAACCAACTACAGTCGAGCATTCCCCTGTCGTTCGACTAGAGAATTTGTAACAGGGGAATGCTTGACTGTAGTTGGTTGATTCTTACATTCTGATCCGAAAATTTAAATTTAAATCCTTGATGGAAATTAAGCGATCGAATAACGATTCTACAAACATGACACAATGGAAGAGATAGGGATTTTAAGAAAAAAGGAATTTCACCTCCTATTGTTTTGATTGGGCAAACTTCAATCTTGAATAATCATTTGAATATGTCTGGTTTATACATTTAAGTCGAGTGAGAAAGTAAGAACAAGGCCAATCATATTGATGAATTTTACTTAACTGTTGTAAAGCTCCTTTTTTCGCTGAACGCAGCTGCTATTGTAGATTGTGCGGCTCACTTGGCGCTATAAATCATTACAAATGCTTCGAAGCTTTTAATTAACCAATCGGAAGAAAGAATTTTACTAATTGACCAATCAAAAAATGCTTCGAAGCATCAAATAGCCAACAGCTGTAGATGACATTAGTAGGATGCAGCACCACCTTTTATAGTATATATTCGATATATCGATTTCATTCACATCCGAGATATCGATCAAATGACGATATTCTGCAGATTTTCTGCATTCAGCGTTGCTGTCGATAACCTCATGCAAGAATAGAAAATAGACACAGAATTATACAAGTTGTCAAGTTGTTACACGAGTGACTCGGCGATTGATTCCAATGTATTTGACCATTTGTATCTTCGATAAGAAAACAGACCGACACGATTATTTGTCAAGTATCTGATCGCGCCCTATACTGAGAAGATAAATGCGCCCGATAGGATCAGACAGTGTCTGGTCCATAAAGAGGCTTGGAAGGGATCTTGTAAGAGAGTTTAACGTTTGCTAGCGCCGGCCGACACAAAACGATAAGGGAAAGAAGAAAAGAGGAAGGGAAATCGCGACTCCACGTCGCGACCATTCGAAAAGAAAATGACCGTGATGGATTTCTTTGGTTGCGCCTGTCTGGCTTTTGGTCCGCCACTAGCCATGTTTATGTTCACCATCGCTGCCGAGCCTATCAGAATAATTATATTGATTGTCAGTGCTTTTTTTTGGCTGATATCCTTGCTGTTATCATCGGTGCTTTGGTACGCTGTCGTTCCACTACAAGAACATCTCGCGTTTGGTCTGGTCTTTTCTGTATTGTTCCAGGAAGGTTTCAGGTAATCCAGTCTCCCTACTGCAATCTAATTTGATGTTACATTTATGTTAATCTACACCATAGTGTATTAACAAGTTTTTATCTCTTTAAGGTATCTCTTGTATTGGGTGCTGCGTAAAGCTGAAAGAGGCTTGGAAAAGGTCACGACGACACATGTGGCTGACAGTAGACATGTATTTGCTTACGTTTGTGGCTTGGGTTTTGGCTTCATGAGTGGTGCCTTTGCTTTAGTCAATGTCCTGGCTGACGCAGTGGGACCTGGTACCATGGGACTCCGTCAGGGTTCCGAATACTTCTTTATAATATCAGCTGCTATCACTCTGTGTTTCATTCTCCTGCATACATTCTGGGGCGTCATCTTCTTCTATGCCTTAGACAAGAAGAATTGGGGACAGATTATCTGGGTAGTTGGATCACATCTGGTTGTCTCATGTATGACATTGCTCAATCGTTATCAAGTGTATGCAGCCAGTTTATTATCTGCTTATATAGTACTGGTAATAACAACTATACTTGCGTTCAGGATCGTTGGTGGACGGACGCAATCTTTAATTCTCTGTTTCCAAAGAAACTGAGAGCGCTTACAAAGGTTACTTACTTAATAAAATGTTCATAGTTGGCAAGTTCATCTCTGATGTGAATTTAATATCATAATGACAAACATTTTTTCCCCTTAGATGTCAATCTCTAACGCATATTCTGCGATAAGTTGTTTCTTAAGCTTGAAGTTTTGTACCGTAAGAAATTGATATGTCGTAGTCAAATGTCAAAAGAATAATCGACTATAATTGATCAGTTTCTTACGACTTGAGGTTTAAAGCTTATGTAATGGCTTCGTGTTGAGAGCTCATAAGAAAATTGTATTTCGTTGCTCTATTATATTATATTATATTATATTATAGTATAGTATATTATATTATATGTAGAGAAAGGTTTAATGTGCAGGATATTTTTTTTTTCTCCATTCAGATTATTAAGTAGATTATTAAGCATTACCGAGTATGCAACATCATTAATTTTGTATGACAAAATGTACTCGATGAATTCAACAATGTACGATATATCTGTATGTTGACCAAATTGATCGAGAGATACAAATAGTATACGACATGTTTTGAAACTAATATTTTTCAAAGCATCTATGGATGTGAAAGTCTCAATTATTTTCCTTGTAAAAGATTCTAGCACTAGATATTTTAATCGAGCTGCTAGTCCGTCCCTTAATCGAAATAATTGTATGAAGCAGAAACAAAATAATCTCTTAATAATCCAATTTTGATTCAGATAACGTCCAAGTATGTATTATTCCTTTATATCTTAAAGCTAATATCCTAAATCTGTTGATTTTTCATTGCAGCTATGTTGAATTGTGATATCAGAAACAAGGAGTCATGAATTTTCTTTCTTGCATTACATATTGAAATAAAATCAACTTTTTTTCATGTTATAATAATATAATGTGTGATAATATAAATTTATTAAGTGAAAGATTCGTTTTTCGATTCATAATAAAAATAGCTCGTCTATCATAAGATCTAGTTTTTCACCTTATAAGAGCCACAATACTTATACGTTAAGTTGTATATGCAGGATAATAAAAGAAAGTTTTTTCGATATATTTGATCAGTCCATATTATTATATATACCAAATGCAAAATAATGGCTAAGAGTGATGGCGTTCATTTATTTCGTCATATAGTGCAGGAAAGAAAAGTATAATTTTTTGACATTTTTCAACGTCAATTTAATATGACTACAAAAAGAAAACGAGAAATTATAAAAAGGAAGAAAAAATCTAAAATGTATGCGTCCGGTGCGTGTGTATGTGTATAAGTATGCGTTTATAATTTATAATTATTATTGTATTATTATTGTATCAAATCAGATGTATATTTGTGCGCCTTAAATATGGATTCCTTGACTAGGTGTAACAAAGAAAAAAATGAAGTTCAAGAAATTGTCATTACTTTTTTCAACTATGCAAAAAGAAAAGGAAATCTATCGACGATTACATTTAAGGTAATTACTGTGACGATTATCTTGGCATTCAATTAATTTAATTTTTATTTATCACACATCTCGCAATCGTTTATTATATTCAGATCATATTGCATTTCATACGAGATTGAAATGAAAACAATTTTTGTAAAATACTAATTGTATAAATTATTGTTATCGCTGTTTAGATGTAAAATTATATATACCACCGTTCCATATACAATAATAATAACTCCAGTTATGCAATTAGTTATCACTATAAAGATAAATTTATAATGAATTATTTGTAATTCTTTTCTTACAAAATTTTTTAAATGCGCTAAAGTTTTGAATTTATATATTCCACGTATTTGAATTATTCATCATTTTACCAATATGTACGATGACCATATTTTCTTAAAGAAGACAAAGGATAAATCTAAAAATTTCAGGGCTTTGTTTTCAAACTTGTTTGTGACTATTTTTATAATAGAAGAATTTATGCATTAAATTATTAAAATTAAATTATTAAAATTTTATTGCACTGTATAGTCAAATTGAGATAGCATGCAGTTTTCTGATAGTTTGAAACTGGTTCGACTATATTGAAACAAACCCTTGATCTGAAATAATAAAAAATGAGAACAACTCTAGTTTGAATAAATTTAATTTAAAAAATACAAGAAGTACAATTAACAAAGACAAATTTATATGCGTGAAACTGTAAAATATTTTCTATAATATTAGACATTGGAATGCTAGTTAGAGAAGAATTTCCCGTAATGTTAAAATAAAGAACAGTACAGGATAACATTGGAAAATAAAGGACAAGATTGAATTTTGAAAAAACAAATCTAAAGAACAGCCACGTAAAATAAAGAATTGTTCTTTACAATAAAGGACATATGGTCACCGTGCCAATATGGTACGGTATATCTTCAATAATAGACATAATTAAAATAATATATGCTAAATCACAATCAACTATAAATCTCAATATAAGTAAAAATCTGTAATAACTACTGAAGATAATGATACAAAATTCCTTGTTTCCAGATAAAATCCAAAACCATATTAATAAATTGATTTGTATTTTTCTGGAAAATTGAACTATTTTAAAAAACAAAATTATCGATTCTATTTTATAAAATTGCATTCCGAGCATCTATCATGTAATAAGTCGGAATAGATTCTGATCGGAATTATTTCATCTTTCCTAGAAAACACAATAGAAATCTAGGAAATAATTAAATAATTCCAATCGGAATTCGTTTCGAATAATTCCATAATATATACTCTGGTTGCTAATACAGTCGAATTTTTATATATTTTTCTCAACGGGACAGAGGAGATTTCCTGTATTTTTTCAACTTAACCTTAAACTTAATTTTCTCTTTCGCATTATTTCACCCCATTTATTATTCGATCACACATGCACGAAATAAAAATGCGTCTTGCATATAATAAACTTGGAACAAAAAATTCATTTTATTTTTTTGTTACTCTAAATTGATTGTGCGGGCAATAACAATTTCATTCTACGCTGCTAAGCAAAAATTTAAGGTATAGAAAAATATAGAGAATCTTTTCAGTCCCACAAACAAACAAATATACGAAAGTTTGACAAGTAATTTGCAACACTTAAGAACTTGTTAAAGAAGCCATAAGTAGCTCCATTTTGTTGAGAAAATTCTTCCCTTCCATTTTGTCCCATCTAACTTCTTTGAAAGAACCCCCCAGATTCTCCCATTTCCTTTCTCGAACAAGTTGACCAGGAAAGAAATCCTTTCGGGGAGAATGTGCGATGGCAACTTGCACGCCCGTTTGCGGTTCACATCGCACAGCAATCATTCTACAAACATATTAAATGATGTGTGAATAATAGACAGGCGTACATTTTTTCTTTTGTGTTATAAGTTTGAACAATAAAATACCTATCGCCAATTGGCGAAGCTAGAATACAACTACTGGCGTTTCCCAAAGGCTCCACTGAACCTAGGCCGAGGTGCGAGCTGTTTGCTAAGAACTGCCAGCCCATACATTTGGCTAGAGCTTGTACCGCGCTTATTTGATGCTGATAAATCTGCGTATAAGAAACAAATATTGTGATACCATTTTACCGATTATAATAAAAGAATGTTTTATATCTTGAATTTGACATTTTTTAATCACACGAGTTAACATTTTTTTTTTCTTTTTTACAAATGTTGATAAAAGAAAAACTGACCTGACAAAAAATTAGATCTCTCAGTTCCTGAGGCTCGTAACTCATGTGCATGACTCTACCGTCGCGACACACACATTTCAATGACTTTTCACCGACGTGAACGACCATCGATGTCCGACATACGCTGTCATATCCATGTGTTAGGATATTTATTTTGACGCAGGATTGCGTCGGCGAATTCAACGCATTCCAATGTGAAACGATAAGCGGATCTTTTACTTCTTTCGCTATCGTGTCTAATACATATTCTGTACGCAATCGCATGAAAAAATGTTGTGCTTGTTGGATAATTTGTTCTAAAAGCGTTTGACTCTTTGTCATTTCTAAAAGCTCGTATCTGTCGGCGGCGGTAGGGCCGGCTACGTATCTGCGTTTACTAGGCCCAAGAGGTCCCGAAGCAGGATGAGGAAATGGATGATTACTATTATTGTAATGTACTTCACGCAACAGTTGATGCAAAGAGTGCTCTAATACATGATCGTGATCGGTTTTGTGTGGTGGTGGAACTGTAGGTTTTTTATCATTGCCTGTGCTATGGCATAGGCCAATTATTAACTGAATTCCTGGAAGTACCTGGTGTAAACATTAAAGAAAAAAACAAATTTTTCTTTATACAGAATGATCCAGATCACCCATTAAGAGCCGGTATGTACTCTGTTTATGAAAAATCAAATCAAAAAGTTTTCTACCATTTTGTAATTTTTGCAATTTTTTTTTTAATTACTCAATAAGCAGAATATCTAAAATCGATAAAACAACTTTAGGCGTTCTTTAAGAAATATCTTGGAGATATTTCATAAAGAACTTTGAAAGATATCTTAATTAATGTCGTCTTATCGTGATTTTATCCGCTTATTCCGCAATTTTTAGAAATTAATATCTCGTTAATTTGCGATTGTTGCGACCATTGCAAAATGGTAGAGGACTTTACGATTCAGTTTTCCATAAACAGTATGTACATGCCGGCTCTTGCGGATGGTCTGACACACTATGTATATATATTATGGTGAGTGTTTGTCTGTGTTTCAGTCTGAAGTAAAGAATAAAAACTATAGAAGAAAACTCTTAATTTCCATTTACAAAATACATACCGTGGCCATTATCTGATTTCCGACAACCATGTGAGGTATAGGCGCGCGTAAATGCACAGCCTCTCGTGCTAATTGACTAAACAATTCCTTGCAAAACAAAACATTCTGTGCAGCCTCCAACTTTTGCTGCCAATGCATATCGGTATTTGAATTATTTGCACTGCTATTAAGCAAGCTTATGTTTGCACTGCACAAATCTTCTTGATCTAAACAAACGTACATTTACTCATTTGTATTTAATATTATATATATCTTTCTTCACAACACACACACACACACACACACACACACACACACACAAAAACACACACACACACATGAATTTTCTTTAAGTTTTCTTTAATTTATATTACCTTTCTGGCATAATACTTCGATGTATGCAACACCTTGTAACTCGCTGGGTATGGTTACCCGCAAAGCGGATGCTTTTGAATTTGAGGGTCCATGAGATTGTCCTGACATGCTACCAGTATTAGGGGAGGCTGGTGGGCTATTATTACTTTTTTCTTCTTCTTCAGCTTTGGTAACTTCAAACATGCCCGTTTGTGTATACTTCGAGCCAGCTAATAAATAACATAGATATGATTTATAGTAAACAGAAATATTAAAGACAAAACAATAAAATATAAGACATACAAAGCATATTTCAAATAAATAAAAATATAATAAAACAAACCAGTTCGATAACTGAGATCGCCAATGATAGAGTTTGATACTTTCTTTAAACGCCAGTTTTGCCGTAATCTTAATAACTCGATATGAAAGTCAGGGGTAGATCTGGTTCTAGCTAATTCAGCCTGACAATTTCGCAGTCTCTCAGTGCCCATCATAAGAACTGACGCTGCACCTGCTAATGCCTTTTTTCTAGCATATACTTGTATCATAGGTTTTACATCTGCTGATTCATGAGATGTTGGATCTAATACCATATAATTTCTTTCCTTTGCTATTGCAAGTACATCAGCCAATACACAAACTTCCGTCAAGGCATTTCTACAAAACCAATGAAATTCAATTTGTATTCTTTATTTGTATTTTTGTTTCTAATTATTAAAATTATTATTACAAACTTAACTTAAACATTTATAATACATACATATATACACATATGTACATACCAGGTGTATAAGCTTAAATCCGCTGTTTGCTCATAGGTGGCATTAGTGAGCGTACAAAGCTACCCTGCACATAACACACTTTCTTTTACATGTTTGACATCTGTCAACATTAACCAATGCACATCATCAGCAATTTCATACATTTTTTCTCATCATCAGCAATAACATAAATTTTTTCTTTCGTAATCATGTCTAGATTTTTGCTAAAAAAAAAAAACATATGCGGGAAGCTTTGCTTTTCTTTTTCAATTTGAAGAAATCGGCTGCCAAATCGCATCAAATGCTTGTGGAGGCCTATGGCAACAATGCTTTATCGGAAACAACGTGCAGAGATTGGTTTCGCCAGTTCAATAACGACAATTTTGACCTGAGACAAGAAGCGTGAAAAAGCCGGCTCAGGAAGGTTGAGGACTGTCAATTGCAGACTCTTTTGGACGAGGATGATACCCAATCGCAAAAAATGTTTGCCGAGCAATTGGGTGTTTCTCAAGCAGCCATTTCCATGCGGCTACATGCCATGGGGAAGGTTCAAAAGATCGGAAAATGGGTGCCGCATGAACTGAACGATAGGCAGATGGAGCGACGCCAAAACACATGCTAAATTCTGCTTGCCAAAAAAGAAAGTCCTGCATCGGATTGTGACAGGCAAAAGTGGATCTATTTTCAGAATCCTAAACGCAAGAAATCTTGGGTTGATCCCGCCCAATCATCAACATCTTCCTCAAGACCAAATCGCTTCGGACGGAAGACGATGCTGTGCATTTGGTGGAATCAGGAGGATGTCATCTATTACGAGCTGTTAAAACCTGATGAAACTGTTAATGCTCACCACTACTACCAACAACTGATCAAATTACACCGTGTTCTGCGTGAAAAAAGGCCGCATTATCAGAAAAGACAAGCTGATTTTCCTCCACGACAACGCATCATCGTACACGTCAACAATGGTCCAAAACTACTTGGAGACACTCAACTGGGAAGTGCTCCCCATCCCGCTTATTCACTAGACCTGGCACCTTCTGACTATCACCTGTTTTTGTCGATGGGCCACGTGCTCACTGAGCAGTACTTCGATCCTTAAGAAGAGGTCCGAAAATGGCTTGATGATTGGTTTGCCTCGAAAGATGAGGAATTTTTTTGGCATGGTATACATAAATTGTCCGAAAGATGGGAAAAATGTATAGTTAGCAGGGGCAAGTACTTTGAATAAATTTGTTTTTGCTTCCTAGGAAAAAAAATGTGTTTTTCTGACTAAAAAAACGGATTTAAGCTTATACACCTGATACATACACATATAAGTATACATACATGCATACATAATATTAACAGCTTCTTAGACACACACAAGAAAATCATGACAAACCTTAATTTGTTTCTAACGCTGTCCCACGGCCATAAAGAGGATTGAAATGAAGCAGGATCCTTTGTATCTTCTTCATTCTTCTCATTACCTTCCAACTGTTCCTTTTTTACCTCTTCACCATTCGTTTTACTAAAGTCAATCTTTTGAGCAATTTTTGCCAAGTTCTCCGATAAAGTAAGAGGTCTGCAGCATAATTAATAATATAAACTGATATTAAATCTTATCCCCTTTGACAAAACTAAGGTTAATTATAAAACATAAGATGTATTTAACATTAGACGATAATTTCATTAATCGAGCAATCTCAATATATTCTCTCTGTTGACAACAAAAGTTGTTTACATACGCTTGATAAATTTCTTGGCCATCGTAAGTAATTTCCTGTATTTGATTCTCAATCGGCGCTTCCACGGAAATGTTCACAGAATACGCCATATTGTTTTCATACCACTTCATATAGTTCATACGTTGATACAACCTAACCGGCCTTTTCATACATATAAGGAAATAGGAAGCGTTTATATTGGCCGTAACGAAATATGCCGTATGGCGTAATCTGTAGAAATTGACGAATCACCTTCGAGTATTTTCTTCCTACCGTCGAATGAAAGGGGAATACTTGACTGTGATTAGTCAATTTTTATATTACGGCATACGGTTATAATCAGTATAAAACGCTCCCTTTAATACATCTCTGCCCTCTCCATTTATAGACTGTTCATAGAAGGCTATCAACTGTGAAACGCGAAAAAAACATGGGACGATATTTATAATTCGTTTTTACTTTAAAACTGTTTTAAATAATATCTAATGCTTGTATTCATAGTCAGACTTTACCTTGTACTTAAGGCTTCCTTAAATTTATCTTTAGATGTTCAGCAGCCAATGAAATAATTCGTAGAGCATCTAAAGATAAATTTAAGGAAGCCTTAAATACAATGCCTGACTATGAATACGAGTATAAGACAGTCTTAAATAGATTCATTCGGCAATGTAAATCTGAGATGCGAATTAGCAGATAGTGAGCTTGATCACATGATTTTCGAGCAATCCGAGTATCAAGAATTAATTCCAAACGCTATAGAGCTGGGAATCGATTTTGTATCTTGAAACGAGGGAGTCGATTCTGTATCTTCAAACAAGATGAAAATTACAAGTGAGCAAATTTACTAGGTGTTGACCAATGAAATTTTCAGTATTCTAGTAAATTCATTCATTTTTGTAATTTTTATCTTTTATATTATTTTACAAGATGCAGAATCGATTCCAAGGTGAAAATTATAAAAATGAACGAATTTATTAGGTGTAATTTACCTTAAATTTGTTCACTTTTGTAATTTTCAACTTATTTGAAAATACAGAAATACAGAATCAACCTCTTGTTGACCAATGAAATTATCAGTATTCTAATAAATTCGCTCACTTTTATGACTTTCATCTCGTTTCAAGATACAGAATCAATTCCCTAGTAAATTTGCTCACTTTTTACGGACGCCTTCGATTTGCAATGCCAAACACACCTAGTAAGAATCAACAATTGCCTAGTTTATATCATGCACTTGATGCACATGTTAACTAGTAAATTTCTATTTAATTATTTTAATTTTAGCGATGTATTCAAAGAATGATGTACTAAATTAGTGCATCACAATAATTAATTAAATGGATATATCATATATATGTTCACGTGTATCGCCGAAATTAAGATCATTCAATAGAAAGTTACCGTATCAAGTGCACGATGTAAACTAGACCTATGGATCAGTTTCATCAACACCAATTAGCTTATGAATACCAAAATGAATATCAAAATCTGAGTATTAATCATGAAACTTTATCTCCCTAAGATGGAAAATGTAAAGTGAAAATTTTAACCATTAAAGTTAATGGAGAAATTTTTTCACTTTTACTTTTCATCCTAGGAAAAAAGTTTCATGATTGATACCCTGTAAAATACTGCCTTATAATACTATCCCCTGACAAAGAACCACTTTTCGTACGTCCATTGGAATCGATTTATCATCAGCAGTTTTGAAAAGTGGACGTATATATATTCTCAGAAAAGTGGACTTTACTGTATAGTTTGCATCGACTTTGTTAGGGGGCAGTAGTGCGCGAAGCATTTTGCAGTTATCTAGGAGTTGATTGTGAGTGTATTCCGAACCGGATTTGCTTAGTTTATTTTTTCCCTTAGGTGTTGGCAGTTCCGTAACTAAACCGAGAAGTGTTCCGAACCCATCGGCCGTCAAACTCAGCTATTGGCTTCTATTGGTTACGAGTTATGATAACCGACGGGTTCGGTTTAATTACGGAACTGCTAACATCTAAGAAAAAATGAGCTAAGCTAACCCGGTTCGAAATACACCCTGTATATCTTGAAATGAGGAGGTCAATTGTGAAAAATTACAAAAGTAAACAAATTCACTAGAGTATTCATAATTTAATTGGTTAATACCTAGTAATTTTTGCTCACTTTTGTAATTTTCATCTCCTTTCAAAATCCACAATCGACCCCTTAGTTTTAGGCCGTTATATCCTCTCTCAAGTTTTTCTCTGTTGGTACTGAAATTACTTTCCTTGTTTACGCAAGAAATGATTCAATACCAACTCGTACGCTATAGTTGTCTCTGACTGGTTTCCAGCTTTATTGAAAGTAATGGCATTTTCCCCATTGACGTATGAATTTTACAGCTTTCTTGTATTTCGAAAATGAATGTTTATTTGCGCGATTATCATCGCCATCGTTCTTTTCTTCTTATTATTGCAATTGAATCCTAGCTGTTGGTAATTCTGGAGTAATAACTATCCTAACGATGTAACTCTTTGCTAAGGCGACTGCCAAAAGAACTGATGCAGAAAAAAGCAAATAATTAACAAAGGATTTGTGAAGAGGGCAGATCATATAAATTTATCACTTTCTTTCTCAATGAGCAAATGGATACACAGACGGATATCAATTTACTGCGACCGCAAATGACGTTGCGAAACATGAATTCTGGCAGTGTATTCTATATGCCTTTAACATCGTTTGCAGGTAAACAATTATACAAATACACACACACACACATACACACACACACACACACACACACACACACACACACACAGTAATAATTTCACTTGTATTTATAACATTAAATAAGAAGACAATAAGAAGGGTAATGTAAAGAAATAATTCACTGTAGATATTTTTCATTTAGTGACACAAATCAGCACAAATCATCCTATCTGTTATTTAATGAATATATGGACAGTGTTTGTGTTGACTGTGTATCTCCTAAAGGGGAAACAGCAGTACAAAGGCAGTACAATACTTGTATTATCAAGTGGAAATCATCCTTAATTAGCACAATTAATTCAATTGATAGACTCATCTGTGACAAAATTCTAATTATGTATAGCTCATAATCCTCGATCTGTTTTTCTATCTGTCAAATAATGAAAAATTAATCATTTTTGTAATAAAAAAACTCACCGTAGTAGATATCAAAATTATCCTACTTAAATTCTTTTTTGGTTCAAATCAATGTCTATTTTTCAGAGATGTGGTATCAAATATTTCTCTGGGCCCTGTTTTCCTCGATATTTGTACATACGATTGCTGGTGCAATTTGTTTTGCTACTTTGCGACAGCACAAATACGGCAAGTATGTAAGTTATAGTCTATCTGTAAAACAGTCAATTCACAATGTTACATATATCCACAGATTTTTCCCATTGCTTATCATAATAATGGGTGTACTATTGCCACTGACATCGGGTGTCGTCAGTTCAGCGGCAGTTGCCTTTGTATATAGAGCATCTGGCTATCAAATGCCACCTTTATATGCATTGTTTTGGGGTATTGGACAGACTGTAGTACCGGTGTGCGTTGGATTCACACGAATATTGGCGACTTTGTAACCTGTTATTTATTACAAATACTGCATTTGTGATGTATTTATGTGTATATAAGAACAGCAGTCAAGCATTTTTTTTAAATTAGGTATGTACATATTAGGCGTGGGAAAAAGTTATATCTAATGGGGAAAACACCACGAACTTTTTCTCATACCTGATATATAAGTAGTCCATCGTTGTGGGCATTTATAGTTGTATTGAGCTGACTGTAAAAGTGGAAAAAATTTTAATATTATTAAGAAGATGAGGAATATTTTCTATTTGGTGACACACAATAGTTGTTCTGTCTTTATTACTCACGAAATAGCAAAAAAAAAATAGAATGACATTTGTATCAACTTGTATATCAGTAAAAATATGTTTTCAGGAAGATGCTTTTAGCGCTTCGAATCAGTTTATTCTTGTTTCATGCCTAATAAACGCTAAATAAAGATAGAGATAGAGGATGCTTTCCATTCATACTAATACAAATTGATACATTTTATGTTTCTCGACAACTTTAATGAATAACAAGGACAATAATACTTGTGTTGATTTGTGTCATTAAATAGAAAAAATAAAGAATGACAAATAGTGTCTTCCCGAACGCACTTTAAATAAAAGATATCCAAATGGAAGATTATCCAATTGGAAGAATTCATAATAAGAAGCAAATATACATTTATCGAATATCACAGAAAGCATCCTAATTATTGTATGTATGTACACACACACACACACACACACACACACACACAATAAAGTTTGATTTTTTTAATTGTTAACATATCCTTTCAGTTTTATTATAAAGTACAATTGGCATATAATTAATTGGCATATAACAAATAATATGGTTCTAGACTATATTACATCATTTGTATCATACAGCCGTTTGTATAATTCCTCTCAAGACTTATCCATTTTTATATGTTGCTTGAAATTGTTTGCAATATTTTTGATATTCACTAATCCTTCCTCCAAAGCCTTGAAAGCTTCCATTTTTGTGTTTTCATCAGAAGCATTTAGCAAATTGAGTACTAAATCTGAAAAGAAAAAAGTGCTTTTTTAAGTTATTATTTTACACTTTATTATATATATATATA